GTAACTTTTGAAAAGGGCGTATAAAAAAATTGATTATTTTTTTTTTCAAAAAATCATAACTTGAAAACTATTGATCTGATCAAAACGGCATATGAGAAGAAGTTTTAGGTAATTAAATTATCTTTGCGGAAAAAATACACTAAAAGAAAAAACTTCGTAAATTAGTATTTAAAAAACGTAAAATGATGATTATCTCAAAACACCCCCTCTTCGATCTTTATAATTTTTTTTCAAGAAAATTGATGGAATACCCTTAAATTTCGTGAGAAGTGTATGCTGGTAACTTCCTTAAAAAGAAATCTATATTTTTTTAAATTTTTGTTGATTTTTACAAGTTGATGAAAATGCATATTTTTTTGAAAAATAACAATTTATTTGGATTTTACGCCTAATTTTCGATAACTTTGCATACAAAAACTTTTTTCCTAAGTCCAGCCGTTCTCAAGTTAATGCAAATTAAAAAAATATAATTATAACAATTTTCAACATTTTAGGCCATTTTCAAATGTTCGTCGAGATGTTCAGCAACGAGATTTTATTTCATGATTGTATATTAAAAAAACAAACAATTCATTCTCAGATATGGTAGCTGTCAGACTTACCCGTTTCTATCTAGAGGCAGCGGAAGAGAAGCACGTTGATGTGGTCAAATGAAAGATTTGTTGAGATAAAAAACAGTACGTATTTATTTTATATTATTTATATTATTTTATTTTACAACTCATATTATTTGAATACACTGGAGTCGCTTTTTACGCGGGTGATACGTCCCGCGTAAAAAAAACCGCGTAAAAAAAACGCGTAAAAAAACCGCGTAAATTCCGGAATCCGCGTAAAAAAAACCGCGTAAATTCCGAAATCCGCGTAAAAAAAACCGCGTAAAAAAAGACCGTGTAAGAAAAAACCGCGTAAAAGCGATATACCGCGTCAATTCTGAAATCCGCGTAAAAAAACCAAAATCCGCGTAAAAAAAAACCGCGTAAATTCCGAAATCCACGTAAAAAAAAACCGCGTAAAAAAAACCGTGTACAAAAAAACCGCATAAAAAGCGACTCCAGTGTACATTGAATAATTTGGGTGTATCGTTTGAATTAGAGAATATTTTTACTGCAATTTGGTTGTTTGAAACTGGAATATAGCAATGATATTTTCGAGTTCCAGGAATTGGTTTCACTTTCTTAAAAATTGGATCAAATTCCGTGTCAGCCTTTTTGTATTCTTCCGTAGAAACATAAAAAAATGACATTTTTGTTTGAAGATCTTCTTTACGACTATTTGCCCAGTCGTACAGTTGTTAAGGGTTCATTATAGGGTGCTCATGTTGCTTAGCTAAACTTGCTCTGGTTGCCATTCTCTTAAGGGTTCCGCCAATCGCAGCACAAGGACCTTTGCCGAGGGGGGCGACTCTTTCTAAGATGCAGGAATTTTTTTGCTTTGCTGTTGTGAGATGCACTCGCGCTTAATAGATAGAAACACGATTGATTATGATTTTGAAGATTTCCTGCAAAAAGGTGGAGAGCGTTGCGAGTAGATGGGTTTAGATGCAACAGATGAAAAAAAGATTTTTCGTAGATTGATTCGCTAATGTGAGATTTTTCGACCATTTAAAATCGGGATTTAGATGTGTCGCACCCCTCGACCTTTGCCGTGTGAAGTTGCAAAAAAATGCCATTCAATTTCTACATTATGCTTATCTTTAAATCCACAAAGGTTAGCAAAATTTTTTATGTTTTTGTATTGTGATGCTGCTCCATCTGACATAAAAATACACTTTTGGACTGTTATTTGCAACTTTAAAAATTCTAATAATTTTGAGATAAACAACTGAACTGCTACTGTGTCATGCTTTGAAATTGATTTAGGTGGAGGTTTACAACACTTGAAATTGTTATCCATCGTAAAAAACTACTTGCTTTTTAACTTGAAACGCTAAGAGAGATGAACGAATGGAACAGGTGAAGAACGTCCCAATATAAATATATATATATATATATATATATATATGTAGCAGAATAATTACAATGTTGACATTATACCTATCTTCATTAGGTACAATTGATTATAGCAAACTTTTTTTAAGTGTGAGTGTAAGAAGCCTCCACGGGGTGCCTTTTTATGTAGTTGTGATATCGCGGGATGAGCTCTTAAGGCACAATATGGTATACGTCAGAGAAGTACCTAGAGAATTTATCTCAATTACAGGTTTAATAACATATTTGTTTACCTGTTTATGTTTTGAGCCTCTGTTATGACATACACAATTCTATCCAGGTATACAACTAATAGAGGACAGAAAAAAGGCACATGAGTGGGTTTGTTGATTATTTGGGTATATTTGAGAGTATTTACTTATAAACTTGTTTCTTTTCCGCTGCGTCTAAATAGAAACGGGTAAGTCTGACAGCTACCATATTTGAGAATGAATTGTTTGTTTTTAATATATATTCATGGAAAAACATCTCGTTGCTGGACATCACGACTAACATTTGAAAATGGCCCAAAATGTAGAAAATTATTATAATTTTTTTTTTTAGTTGCATTAACTTGAGAACGGCTGGACTTAGGAAAAAAAATTCTATATAAAATGTTTTTGAAAATTATGCGTAGAATCCAAATAAATTACTATTTTACTAAAAAATATGCAATTTTACCAACTTGTAAAAACCAACAAAAATTTCAAAAATTATAAATTTTTTTTTAAGAAAGTTACCAGCATACACTCTTCACCAAATATTAGGGCATTTTTTCAGTTTTCTTGAAAAAAAAAATTATAAAGATCGAAGGGGGGGTGTTTTGAGATAATCATCGTTTTAAGTTTTTTAAATACTAATTTACTAAGTTTTTCTATCAGTGTATTTTTTTCCGCAAAGATATTTTAACTACCTAAAACTTCTTCTCATATGCCATTTTGATCAGATCAATAGTTTTCAAGTTATGATTTTTTGAAAAAAAAATAATCCATTTTTTATACGCCCTTTTTAAAAGTTACTCTGGAGGAAAAAATCATATTTAAATGAAAAATGCAACCATAAGTAGCAGCGAACACGTGAGAAATGTTTCATTCAAATCGGAAACACTCATGACCAACCGGTTTGCGTTTTGGGCTGGAAATGCTCAGCAGCAATTCAAAAACAAAGCGCTTGCAAATATATAACTCCATTAGATTAAACTATCGCCACGGGGTTTCGGAGCTAATCAAATTCTTTCGGGGTTCGGAGCTAATAAATTTATTGTACACATTTTCCAGGCATGTTTCAGTAACGGAACATTGAGTGTTTTTTGTCAAATCAGCAGGGAATCAAAAAATGTCTTTATCATGACAAAATGACATACGACATACGAGCCAAATAATAATGGTTGATCAGTAACGGTAAGCAACCAAGATAAAATTATTTGCAAGTTTGTCTGCATCAAACGCTGTTGATTATAGGTATAGCTTGATCGGAACAGTGTAAGGACATCACCCATATTCTCGTTTTCATTCGAACTATTTTGCCATACAAATAGAGATTATAAAAATAATAAGGAAGCATAAAAAAAAATAACCACTGATATACATATATCATCCACCGCATGTTGCAAACTTTATAACAATTTTATTATATTATATGATTATTTTCCTACGAATTGACAATAGGTATGCCCAACCGGGAAATGTAAGATTCTATTACAGATTTGCATGAAAAGTATGAACAATTTGTAATGCATCGCGACATAAACCGGAAGGTTTTTAAAATCATTTTGTAATTTCTATGTTAGCTTATTTTTTTAACAAAGTTTGTCACCCCTATTCTGTATTTCGTTTCTAACGAAATTCTCATACAAAAAAAAATTTTTTTGTATGAGAATTTCGTTCGAAACGAAATAAGAATAGGGGTGTGTTTCTCCAAATGCATTGCGTCTAGAAAATTATCTCGTGAAGGTGCATTCTAGAAAAACTTGCTTGTGCGCTGCAGTCTATTGCAAGAACTGCCATTGTTTTTGTTGTATGAAACATGCATTGTATTTGTTATATGAAACATGCAGAGGATGTAATAATTCCAACCTTACATTGAATGTAAGAGAAATTTGTTTTGCGTGTGTATGCTCTAAAAAGTATAATACGAAACAGTTTAATTTTCGTAAACTAACATTTTCATTTGACAACCATTTTTCTATGAAGTTGTAGGTCATCAGTTTTTTTTCCCTCGATTTGTTTTCCGTCGATATTGTTTTCCGTTCTGAGTACCAATGCTACCGACGACAGGGAGGCGGCTCTCACAGCTCCATCAACTCATGCCACAGAAAATCCCGACTGCACTGACTGGATTTGAACCCATGCACTTTGGAGTGAGAGGCAGTCACTCTTTACCACTACACCACCGTCGCCGCCGTAGGTATACAGGTATACAGATTTTTTCACACACATAAATACAAATTTAAATGATGATCAGTAGTTCCACAGTGCGGTCCAGGAACAAGCCAATGGACCTTCTCCTTCTGCAACCATGGATAGATGATATATGATGCCAAGGAACCACGAGATATGATATCAGCCGGGTTTTCAAGTCCCGCGATATGATTCCAAGTACAATGCTGCGTCGCATGCTGTATCTTGGATACCCTGTTGGTAACGAACGTAGTCCAAGTAGAGGGGGTAGCATTGAGCCAATTGATGACTCTCGTGGAATTTGTTGTGGGACTTGGGCCCGCTTTCACATACGACATGTTGCAGAAACTATAATAATTTAGGGGTGGCGCCAAATCGCTTAAGTTTAAGTTTTTTGAAAACCGAAAATCTCCCCGGTTTTCAAAAAACTAACGACAATTTTGTGCCACCCCTAAATCATGTCCGATTGAGCCCAAATTTTGCACGTGATCGGTTTAGAAAATACGAGGGTAACTTTTTCCCCATACATTCATTGGCACCCTAAAGAGCACACCACAAACGCAAGCGTTTCGATAGTAAGTTACAACGGTAAAGGATGTGATATTTTAACACCAATAAAACTTTTGAACTGTTTACATGTGCAGTGCACTCATACTGCTTTTATTCGTAAAACTTCAAGGATCTCTTAATGGCTAAAATGTTACCACACTATACGTATATAGTTTCTGTAATCAGAAAATTCAAATTATGTTTATATCTACGTACCGCCTGGGGAGAGCGAAGAATCATCAAACGGAAATGTCATCAAATTTTACTTCCAGCTACACGAGCGCGTGTGTCTTTTCTACAGGCACGGATCCCCAAACCAGGCACTGAATGCTAATCTCAATTAGTGAAGTTAAAATACCTACGTATAATCTAATTAGCTACTACATTATGAATCATTACTCAGCCTATCATATTCATCATTGGACAAAATGTTGCCATATTCTTACCAGTACCAGTTGTCTATTTCTTTACCCGCAATTCGCGGCGTCCATCACATGGAACGTGGCGTAATAAATTAAATTATATCCGACAAACCGATACAAATTACTAGCAATTATTGACAACTTTCTCGCTGACACTCTCATCTGGCTTCTGTTCACTCTATAGAGTGGTTATGATGTCAACAGTATCTTTGAACGGATTCGTCGCTGCAATGATTGGTCCAAGTTGGGGCGGTTGCATAGCAGTGCCTATCGAACCTCCGTTGCCTGGGCCACCACCCACTCCCGGGGGAAGCGGCATACTACCAATGACTGCTGGAATGGTCGTCATTGTGGTTATCGTCGACGATGACGAGCTCGTGTTATTGGTAGTCTTCATGCTTATCTCCATGTTGGACAAAGCGGACGACACATGCAGCAGATTCTCCATCAATATTTGATAAATTTCACTCAGTTCGATTTCGGAGCGAGACGCAATAAATACATCTGTCGGATGGGATTAAATAAAAGCCAGTCATTACTCAATCAATTTACAATTTCAATATGATAGGAAGCACCATGGTGGTTAATTGACGCAGGAATATGCGATTATCGGAGAAGTCAATAACATAAATTTCAATATAATGAGCAATGTCAATATTTAAAGAGTTTAATTTTTTTGCTTTCAGACCTGATTCTAATTACCTATATTTACCTAGATTTGGTAAGAAATTATGAATTCATTTTAGACGAATAGGGTTCTTTGTCTGATAGGATCCACGAAAAGCAATCGTAATGTATGCAAAACAAATTGAAGTGGGTAGACAGAGATACATATTCAGTCTTGGGATATTCACAAATCTCATTAAATTGATAAATTGATTATATCTATGATCCCTCTTCGCATCCCTCCTAATGTATAGATGGATCGTTTTACAAGCATACAACTGGGAAGCCCAAATCAATCGGAGCAAATTTCCGGTTGTGATTGATGGTTTCCATATTTGTTTCAATTTACAAACACATTCCGTCTTTTTCTCCGAGCTTCTCAATATGCAACACATCATATCGCACTACCCTGTACGGGATAACAGACGCATTCAGATTGAAAGCTGTGCCGTTGTCACCCGGTCACTTGTCAGTATTCCCTTCTGCACACGTCGTCGAAACGGATTTTGATTAAATCTTATTTGTTTCTACACTGCTTCTTGTTTTTATCCTGCAATCCTGCTATTAGTTCAAGATTGCTGTGTGCCTTTGCCGAGGCGGTGGAAAATCTAAACGATATTGGAATAACTCTTTTGGGACTTTATAGACTATAGGAGCGAGCCACAAACGTTGGGAAAATACAGGCGGAAAAGGAAGCTACACTTACCATTCCGCTCCTTCGTCAGTCTTTGCGAGTAGATATTCAGTATGATTGATAAATCATCGATAGATCTGAATTCCGCACTCGAGTTACCGCCGAAGCTCGTATCAAGTTGCAATCCACCGCTTGCGCCACTTCCACCGCTCGTTCCGGAAAGGTTGTAATTCGATGACGATAGATTTGACATTTGTTTGTGCTGCTTGACGTGATTTATGGCTGCCGACCATCTGCAGGAAGAAAAAATAAAATTGAGAGAGCATGCTAGGTTGCAACGACGATGATGAGGATGAGCATTGCAAATAAGTTGAAATTGGCAATCACATGATAATGTTGTACAGAAGGACTTCCAAGTATTCAAGTCTGGAACGCTTTTATTGAACAGATACATTGAACTTAGAATGTGGATTCTCCCCCAGGCAACCAGAAATACGCCACTCACTGTATGCCATAATGGCTCGAAACCCACAAATCCGGACACTTAAATGTAATCATGGTTCATTAGCATCATTCAGAATCATCACTCATATTTATTATTATGTCTATTGTGCACGTACTAGGGGAAATAGATGTAATGTCGGCCTAAGTGCCCCTAATTGGGCCCATACAGCAATCGACTAAATTTTCAATAGCGACTAAATATATTCATTAGTACCGTCCCAATGACGTGTTAATCTAGATAAAATTGATGAATAGCAGATTTTTAGCGATGGGCCCAATCTTAGATCCATAGGCCAACATTAGAGCCATTTTCCCTATTTAATTTAAAAAAAATATCAGGATTCTAAAACCTATCCAATTGGCCACTATCCAATTGTTGCAACAAAAATCACTAGAACATGTATGATGGCACGTATATATTTCGAAAATTCCATGTGGGGATATTTTACTATCGGTCATTTTTGGGCCGAAGGATTTCAGAATTTTATGAAAATTTGCCCTCAAGTAGAGGAGTTTATGAATATAAGCAAAAAAAAATGTTCATTTGGGTGGTATTTTTTTTTTCGAGAATTTAAGAGGAAGTTTTCGGATTTTCCCGGACATCACGTTCTTTAAATTAACTCATAACTCATAAACCTAGCTTTCTAGAAAGAACGTTGTGTAGTGAAATAATAAGGTAGTTATCTCAGCAATCCATGAAAAATATAATCTTAAAAATGTTTTTTAAAGAAAAATTCAAAGTGCGTGATGTTTGGGAGAATCCTAATCCATTTGAAGGGGGAGGCGGTGTTAAAATTGAAGGTTTTGCAACACTCGTCCGAATGTAAACACTTGCCTGAATTCAACTGACCCGTATGCCACTACTCAGCTAACAATTCTCATAACGTAAACGCTTTACTCATTTCATTTATACAACCGCAAGCTGTATTCAAATATTATACGATATGAGGCAACCTTTACTCAACCTCTATAAAAGCAAATTAGTCAGCTGCTTCTAAAGCTCGATTCACTTAATATCTGGACGCAGCTCTATCTCGGGATTATTTGGATGAAATAAAACAGTTGAGCAGTCAACATAAAATTTTTATATCGCACTTTCAGGAAAAAATATCAACAGTCTTACTTCGATTTGGTTTTGATGAAATGACGAACTTTTGTTGAAATACCTCACATCATCTCTCGTCAACTTAAGCGGCCATTTTATTCCACCATCTTTTCATCTCTGCCGCATCCCGAGTCACTTTTCCTGTATTTCTCAGCTTACGCTTAACAATTGCCACTCCAATTAATTAAAATGATAATGAAATCCCATCCTGGCGATTCGCGCAACGGGATTTCTAATGTTTTTTATTTAGGTCACTTCAAGTCTAGTGAACTAAATTACCTTAAGACCTAAGAAAAAGCTAGCCTTATGCTCCATGTCCGAGTGAAGTGGGAACACTTCAGGAAGGCTGGAGGAAGTTTTCAAGACCTCACCTAGTGCCGTAAGTGCCAGGGATGGGGTCACGAAACAAAAAATTACGCTCCACGTTCCAGATCAGGTACATATTCTTGATTGAATGCAGAAGCTTGACAAAATGGTTAATTGACATTGTTGAAAGCACACAGCACTGCGCCAGTCGTCGAAAACCTCAAAATGAACTTTGGCCCCACCTTATTCTATACCTACCCCGCCAAAGATGGTTCTAAGCACGCGTCGTTCAAAAACTCCTAGTCAGTGCTTGCAAATCCTCTTCGAGAACAACAGGTCTTATCAGCTTACACATGGTACATTTACAACGGGGGCGAAGTTTACCGGATATCAGGGTATTGTGGAAGTCTGTAGCAAGCACAACTTCCAGCAATAATGCGTCTCCGAATTTCTCTGCTGCAGATGTGATCCGAGGTACACAAATTCATCCACCTTCTTCATATCCGTCGATTATTACACTTCTGCCTATGCGAAGCCATTAGATACAGGTATATGTACGGGCGAAATATTGCATGTTGCATATACTACCGTTGGAAATATAATTGTCCCATGTGTATATGAAACTCCAAAGAACATGGAACAATTATGCGTTTACCGGCAGTATAGGGTCATTGATTTTTGGAGAAAAAAAAACATGTTTGAAAACATGGGAGCCACTTGGAAGTGGTGTAGGCACTGATTACAAGCACGTTAAAATAACTGCAATACCAATGCCGGCAAATGATACGAATTTTTTATCATTATTTTTATTATTACTCGGATCGAATGCTGTTTTTTTTTTAGAATTTCATCACCGCTGAATATCAAACGTGATATGATTGTCTCATGAATCCGTAGAAAATTACGTGCTACAGACACCCGAGCATTTCCTCATTACAGAACCAATGCCATAAATCCACCTTTCAAGGCAATGTGTTTCGGCATCATTCATCATCACGCCGCATCAACCGGTACCCAAAGTGGAAAAATATACAAATCATTGCTCTCTGTTTCTCTTCTCGTCACCGAAAACCCTCTATAAGGAAAGTCATCCTTGCGAATCCATCAAAAAAGAGCAGACGCTGAACAGTGGAAAAGAAACGCTCCATGAATAAATTAGCCCAAATCTGACCCAAGCGACGCGACTCAGATAACTTTCACTAGGAGTTTCACCGTTCAAACGGGTTGCTATCATCCTACAGCGAAGAAAACGCAAACACAGAACTCTTTGAAATAGTCTTTTTTTTTCTTTTTTCGCTTATGAATGCATGCATTCATGCCAAACAAATAGTGGAACCATGAATAAGGTTGGGTAGAGCTTTTTCAACAACTTTTTATGTCGTCATTCCAGAGCAAAATTTGCATACTGTGTTAGATTATTTGACAACCGCAGTTTCAATAGCGTACTGCCACGGTTGGCAACTGCAATGGCAATTTTTCTTTGAATTTGCAATATTTGACGAAAACTGACAAACAAATGAATGTTAATTAAAATGACGAACACGATTTTGGTACGAAGAATTTCAATGTCGGGAGAAGCGGACATATATAAAATATGGTTTGGATTGAAATATATGATTTACTAGTGCATGGAAGAGAGGTTATATATTAAGAAGCACTCACCTTTGGTTGTCAATCAGCTCAATCAGACTATTTTCGAATTCACAATTATTCATCGGTAGTCCCGGGGATGGTGTAGGAGTGTTTTCACCTTCTGTTGACGTGGATGTGTCCAACGATTCCATTTCAGCATCATCGATGCATCGAAGTAGAGCTCCACGGACCGATACGTACAAATTGGAAAGGTCCTGCATCTTTTCATTCTGTCTGAGGTTCTGCACGACGCTAATTGCAATTTTATGATCCGATTCAATTAGCAGAAGCAACTGGAACATCAGTTTGTATAAACCACGACCAAGATCAAGCAGCAGTTCGGTAGTAGCTGGGTCAACGGATATAGTGGTCATGAGATTTGAACCAGTACCTTCGTTTGCAGAGTCGATATCAGTTGTAAACAGAGCCAACTTGCAGGATGTTTTCACCGCATCTAAACTGTCGAGAACAGTATCTTTTCTGTCGAAAAATGTTTCAAGATGTTCCTGAACCTCCAAAACTCCGTATCTCAAATTTTCAAACAGTCTAGGAGTAGTGACCAAATTCTGATGGTACCATATTTTCGGGGGTTCTCCTCTAGAGGATAGCAAATCAGAGAGTACCGAAATACGATGACCTAGTTGAACCCCAGTTCCAGTGAAATATCGCATGCATTCCTTCGATATCGATATTGATCGATACGATAGCTCCTTGATTAATTTGAACAACTGATTAAGCAAATCTGGTGCATGACCTGATGGTTGATTAACCAACAAACCAACCAAATTCCTTCTCCATACCTCTTCACTTTCGTCCCGAATCGGAGCACGGAACGATAATAAGCCTGGCATGTGAGGCGAAGCGTTACATGGTGTAATGTCTCCCAGATCGCCAGCACTAGATCCACTGGTATCACTGCGAGACACCGAGTCTCTACGATGTCTCCGTTCTCGCAAACTCAAACTCGTTGGCGGTCCACTGAGATACGATGTCTTGGAAAATATCGGCCGCTGTTCTTCATCTAGCGGTGATTCAGACTCAACTTCTTCATCGCTGGAATCATCAGCGTTCAGTCTCTTCCGACGGTTCAGAACCGGAGTCTTCTCACTCAAACTCTCGTCCAAATTCGAGTGTGTCTTGGTTCCAGAAAGTGGTTCGCTGTCACCTTCCGAAAGAGGCCTTCGTCGGACTCCCCAGTTGAAATTGTCGGTGGATTCACCTTCGATACTTTCACTTTCATATTCGAGGAAATCGAAGTCCTTGAACACTCCAAAGTCCGGTGGACCATCGTCCCGTTTGGAACCACCACTCAGGTCCTGCTGGGCCCCGGAGGTTTCATCCGTGCTGGATGCAGCGGACGACTGACGTTCGAGCAGATCTGATGATTGGCTGAAGATGACCTAAGGAGGATGAAAAGAAATGTACAACAAGAGCAAATGATTTAATGATCGTTCACATCGCAATTTTATGATATATGTTCTGTTTGTGTACTATTGGTGCTCAAAGGTGCTATCGGATATAAAAAAATGCTGTAATTGTGGTCTCTCCAAGAAGCTACATCAGATGGAAGTGATTATTGACGCTAAGTTTGCTAATCATGTTTGTGAACAATGCTTTAAATATAGGTATCTGACATAAGATAAGTGTGTCAATTAGTGGCCCTAGGGGTCCAGTAAATAGATCTACTTAATTGTAAACAGTCGTTACATATGACCAATGTAAAGCAGAATGTATGGTATCCCTTTTAAATCACACATGAATAAAGATTAGAATCAGTACTTTGTAAATAAAGTTGGACATCATTTCCTCTTGGGGAGAGGCAATAGCCACAGGATGGTTGAAACCACTATAATAAAACTAATCAACCATTTCCTCTTTTGGGCCTCAGGTAGTCTAGTCAGTAAAGGCACGATAATTCCAGGCGGCGGGTTCGATTCCTGGTCGAATCTAGAACAACTTTCGTGTTGGAAATGTTCTCAACTTCATTGGGCATAGAGTAGCATTGTGCTTGTCACAAAATATACCAATTCATGCATTGGTTGGCATAGAAAGCTCTCAGTTACTAAGTACTCGTAAGAGAAGTGTTAAAAGCCATGAAGAAAAAGAAAAGAAAGTACCTACCGACACCAGCTTTTCAAAATCAAAAGTTATTCAAATATTAATTTGCCAGAGCATTAATGGATTGTAATTTAAAAATTCTGCAGCTCCAGAATAATTTCTTGGGAATATCTTACCACCGCATGCACCGTGTTGTTGCCCGAACATAAAGAACAAATATTTTACACCTTGAGTAAATTCATTAAAGTATTTTATCGCTTTCTCTTTTCTCCCTAGATGTCTCGAAAAAGTCTGTGAAACCATTACACACTGTAGGGAAAAGTGGGGCAGTTTTGCCATAGGGACAACATGCGTAATGCTTGAGCCCTACTAAAACTATTATTTTATTTTAGGTTAAACATTCACTTTTAGCTAACACGAATATTTAAAAAGTTTTAGACTTGCTGAACATTTCCATAATATTGTAAGATTTTGCAACAGAAAATAAGGTTTACGAATAGTTTCCTATAATTAATCCCAAATTTTTTTACTATCGGGTAGGGTCGAAGCGTGCCAGGATTTAAAAAAGAAATTGCCCGTAGGTAGAGTTTACGATTACATGATCGAAAACAATAAAACAAATTCGGGATGGTTAATTTTACCGTAAAATTTTAGTTCCCGAAAATTCATAACTCATGAACAGGCCTGAACATACTCATTACGACTAAAATACTACTTTTCGAAATTATGAAACTATGAGATATTTCATTTTTCATTTTCATTTTGCAACGTTTGGTGGGGCAATGTGAGCGCAAGTCAATCCAAAGCCGAGGATAAAGGAAGGGTAATGGCTGAATAGTCTATGCGGACCACTTGAACGCCATGGGAAAAGGAAGGGATTGAAGAGGTCGGTTATTGGGGGGTTTTGAGGAAATGACACATAGTACTAGATTTGTGTTGCAAAATGTAAAGAAACCGAAAATCCATCTCCCATTGATTCATCCTTTCTCATATATACCAAATTGATATTTTAAAGCAACCTTCAAAATAAACAGACAATATATGAATAGGCTAGTTGCCTCTCTAAGCGGACCCCCGCATCCTAACTCTTTTGTTAATCTACTTAATGTTATTAGGCTGTCTAAATTTTCGTTTGATGATTATGATATCTCATTAGTCTAATTTTTAATAAATAATTGAAATCTCTAATTTACCTAATCAATCATAACACATGCTTTATTAAGTAGCTAAACTGTTATGATATCTAAAATTTAACGTGTTTCAAGAACTTTTGACTTTGATCTATAAAGATGTCGCTACTGAGGTCCTATGTTTTGAGATACTTTTTTTAAGAAAAACTTTTTCAAAGAGTTACGTCTGTTTGTCTGTGATTGAACTGTGGTTGGATTGATGTTATTTCCACCTTTGTCACGTATCGCAGAAAAAAAATCGTCTGCAGATGATCCTGGTTACACGACAGCACGCTATTTCTGGTAGTTCACCAAGTTCTTCAACATAGCGTTCATACATATCGGTAAAACTTTGAATCGCACCAACGCAACATCAGTAATACGTCTCACTTAAAATTTATTCTTAGCTTGCTTTCGACGTCCACATGAAGTGAAACAAAAACATGTATTGGCATCTACAATTTGTAAGTGGGTACAAAGTTTTTAAGCATGAAAAAATGACATAACCCTGACAACGGGTTTCTTCTAATTATCCGTGAGATTTTCCTCCACCGTGAAAATTTTCGTGAAAATGTGACCTTGGCAGTTTTAATTTAATTCCTCTATATTCTCCTGAAAATATTTTTTTTTTAATCTTTTATACTAAAACATATCTTTATTCACTAGGTCCTTCGTAAAATGTTGAATGCAACTCGATTCGATTTTGTAACACTCGTCGTAATTATCCAATTCGGTAAGCCTCCTTGGATGGATGTACGCCTGGTGCTGAAAAAATCTGCATTTTCAACTTGTTACATAAATAACTATATTTTAATGTTTTTTCACACCAGTCTACAGTGGTGCGAAAGGCATATTTTTTTCAATAGATTGGCTTCAGGAGAGTTTTTTGTAAATGACAAGACCCATTGAATGAAGTTAAGTTATAGTTTGAAACTTCACTACAGGTGGCGAAGCAAAATCTAACTTTTTTTGTTTGGATATATAGAGCAAAATTGTAGACTGCTTCATAATTAAAAAAAAAAACTTTGTAGAAGACGCCATGTCTCTATCTGCTTGCGATTTTGAGTTTTGAAGCGTTTTTTTTTATAGAAATTGAGGTCTTTCAGATTTTAACTTTTTTTAAATTAATAAAAATACACAACTTTTCTGACGACAAGAAGGTTCTATCTGCAAAACAAAAAAAAAATATAGGCTAAACATAACAAAACAAAAAAAAAATAGCTAAATTTTAAGCATACACAAACTTCAAAGAGGCAAAAAGGGGCAGAAGGCTCCTCAATATGATGAAACTATAACTAAAATACTATCATTTAATCTGGTAATCATCTGTATCCCGTTGTATGCACAAGCTCCAGATGCAAACAAATAATTTCGGAAATATTTACAAAAACCTAATTTTTTAAGTCTTTCTATAAAAAAAACAGGTTAGAACTCAAAATCGCAAGCAGATAGAGACATGGCATCTATCTTCTACAATGTTTTTAATTATGAAGAAACCTACATTTTGCTGTTGACTCTATATATCTATATATCAAAACAAAAAAGTTAGATTTTGCAGCGCCACCTGTGGTGAAGTCCAGAACTAAAGCTTAACTTCATCCAATGGGTCTTTTCATTTACAAAAACTCTCATCAAGACACTCTATTGAAAAAACCACTGTGAAAGGTGCTAATGAAAAAAGTTCATGGATTTGGCCTTTCGCACCACTGCAGTCAAAAGTATACATTTTATATTATATTTGTATGCATGATGTATGTATATTACTATATGAGGTTTATAAATATCCAGTTGATTAGAAAACACTCGAATTTTCCGCTGAAATTGGCATCAACGTGATGGTTTTCTTAGGCTGGCCAAACTGTCCCATCTTCCCCTAATAATTTAATTCAAAACCAACATCCTACTCTCGACCTCGACAACATCTTTGATAGCCTTCGCTACACTCTACACAACGCTACACAACGCCGGTACTACCTCCTTCCGGTGCGATGTATCTATACAGACATATCCTTTAAGGGTATGGTAGCTAGGATAGCGATCCGTTCGTCTTGCTAGCGCTCATCGCCATGTCGGTTGTCGGATGAAAAATGACTTGTAGTAGCAGCAGCCATTTAATCTTCATTTTTCATGAAGACAGAAAGTTGGTCATTGATTTTCGTACAGATTTCCTCGCATTCTTCACAGTCGAACAGACCGACTCAAAATTGAGACGAGTCGACTCAATTTCTGCAAAAGAAGATTTACTTAAAAGTGAGTTGAATTTTCTGGGCTTTTCCAGCAAAAACTTCTCGAATATGAGGGTAATCGATAGAGGTTTCACTATGTGTATTTGTATACTCCTAGACTGAGTAAAATTTTCATGGATTTTCCTCATATTCGAGAAGTTTTTTCTGGTTTTCCACGGCCTTTTCCCAGAAAATTCAACTCACTTTGGAGTAAATCCACTTTTGCCAAAATTGAGTCGGTCTAAACGACCGTGTACATTGTGGGAAGTGGTGCCTCTTCCAGATGTACACTCCGTTTCTAAATTCCGCTTTCGAGTGTCAGAAAAAGAAACACGTATGTGCCAATAGAACGAGTTAAACAGTGATGTGGTTGAAGCTTGAAGTTTTTAACCTGCTAGGTTGCTCATATAATGATAACTTTAAGAAAATAACTGACACTAAAATGAACTTAAACTTTATTGGTGGCATCGCTTTGATTGTTGGTGCTCTAAAATTGATCACGATTGCAGTGCTTCAGCTTCGAAATTTAAGTATGGGCCCAAAATTAAGGACACTCCCTTAGCTCTGTCGGTAAAGCCACACCTATAAAGCAAAACCATGCTGAAGGCGCCTGGGTTCGATTCCCGGTCTGGTCTAGGAATTTTTCGGATTGGAAAACTTCTCGACTTCCCTGGGCATAGAGTATGATTCTACTTGCCACACTAACGCAAAAAATGGTACTGGCTTAGAAAGCTCTCAATTAACAACTGTGGAAGTGCTCAAAGAATACTTCCCAGCATGAAATCTCAGTAGGGACACAGGGACTAGTGTATAAACTAGGGTGGGTCAAGTATGTACGGCAGGTCATAACGCCCTGCTTTTTTTTTCCTTTGTTTTTTGTTTTTTCCGTCGATCTTGTTTTCCGTGCTGAGCACCAATGCTACCGACGTGCCAGGAAGGCAGCTCCCA